TTATTTAATTTTGTTCTTCCATAGCTAATTTTTTATGTATATGCTTTAATGATTTTTTTTCTTTCCAATAAGTTTTGGTCAATTTCATTTTTGTGTATCTGGGTATGATTTCATTCAAATTTCTTGTGCAAAAGGTTCATTTTTCTTGGAAATGTGGTGTTATAAGTTCAACTAAATTCAGAAATTTTAAATCTTTTAATATTTATTGCCTACCTCTTTCTACTTTCAGAATTCTAATTATATGAATATAAGTTCCTAGATTTTGACAGAGTGAACTATTATATGACTGATCTGTAAATTCTTCATTTTTATTTTGGGCACATTTTATTGTTATATTCATTTAAGTTTGTAAAGAATTTATTTACAATGTGCAATCTATTAAAAAATCATAATAAAGCCATGAAAATAGAAAAAAAAGAGTATCAAAAATTTAAAATATACTTAAACTAAAGCGTAACGGTGTATTGTGGAAGACAAAATACATGAAATAGGGGGTGTGCCCCCTAGCTCAGTTCTTTAAGTGGCTGCTTCAACAAAGCAGTCAGGCTCAGGTTGCTGCGGTTCGATCCCTACAACTCAAGCCAGCCAAACCTGCCCTGAAGGCATTCGGAGCAAAAACCCCACAAAAACATGAAATATAATAAAATTATTATTTATAAAAAATAAAATAAGAGGAATTCAACAATGGTTATTATATTGCATATTGTTGTGTTCAAATTAGTTGTTCAGATTAGCAGATACAAGCATGCAAAATTGGTTAGAATTTGGTTAAAAATAAAAAGAAAGAATTGATTGCTTCTGATGTCCAAAATAAATAAATAAAAAATAAAGCAAAGATGACAAGGCCTTGGTCAGATAAGCAGAAGATTGAGGTCAACAGTCAACAAAAACTAGTTTGACCAAAAATATAATAAGCAAGGTAACAAGCAAGGCAATAGAGGATCACTGTAACGACTTTGCTCCTACCTATCTGGAAAATATGTTTTCTCCTCTCACTTTGTTCTTTTGATAAACTACTTAGATAATAAAGAGGCCAAGAGGCACCTGCAGACATATGCTTGCTACGTGCCTCAACAGCTCATAGGCCTATTTCTACTTTAAACAAGTTTGTTTTAGTTCTTTAGGTTCACCTATTGTCCACAGTTCAATCCAGAGTGGTCTGCGCCTTGGTCTTTTTCTTTTTTTTTTTGGTAAGAACTTGTAGCCAGAGTCCCCATGGCAACCCATTTTCAGGTCCCTTCCTTACTATTGGGAGGTATTTCGCTATTCTTTATAAACATTTTTCCTTTCTACCTCCTTTGTTCTTGATTTCCTTCTTTGATTTAGTGTGACATGGACCCAGATAACACCTTTACAGTGATAAAGCACATTCTTGTCTTATTCATTATTGAGAGGGAAAGCTTTCCATTTCTCCTGATTTAATGTGATGTTGGCAGCAAATTTGTCATAAACGGGGAAATAGCCATACACTGATGTCTAACACTTTTTTTTTGGGGGGGGGCAGAGCTGGGGGTTGAACTCAGGCCCTTGTACTTGCCAGGCAAACGCTTATTCTTCTGAGCCATCTCCCCAGCCTACACTGATGTCTAGAAAGCATTTTCTCCTCGAGGTTAACTTTTGGCAAGGGAAATGTGATTTCTGAGGCATTTTCAAAAGTTTAGGATTATTTGGTGTTATTTAAATTGTCTTACCCTTACAATTTTTTAGATTACATAATACATAATTTACTTAGAAAAATGGGACTTGGGGTTGTTTATAGTATGTTCCAAGAAAACCTAATATATGAGAACGAGCTACTAATGGCAGAATGTGCCAAGAATATGAAGAATGAGGCAGAAAAAAATCCAGGATTGTATAATAGAATTTATTTGGGAGATTCTGACAGAAGCTCATATTGGGTAACAGTAAAATATGAAGATCTCCACAATTCAAGGCAGGAAGAATGGGATTATACATTAATGTAGACAAAGATGGGGTATGCACAACTGCAAAGTACAAGGGCTTTCTCAAGACGTTACTTGTGGGCTGGAGCTGTGACTCAATGGGAGAACACTTACGCAGCATGCATAGGGCCAAGGGTTTGTTTCCCAGTGTTGCAAATGACAAAATTATTCATGTCAGATGCCAGAAACTCTTGGTATCAATGGATGGAAAAAAACATGCATGGTTATCTTAATATCTTTGTTTATCCTGTAGGGTTTAGAATTCAAGTTGGGGTGACCCAGTAGACAAAACAGTGGTTACAATCAACATGGCCACAGTCATGTCAAGGTGAATATAAACAGTGGTCTACAGTGATCTTGCCTGAGCCCTTGCACAAAATACTCCTTTCTGAGGTCTTTTACCTAAATTGAAATAGTTAAGAATGAGGCAGTATATATAAGGTAGCCTTCAAACAGTAGATTTCTCAAAAGAGAAAACAGAGACACCCCTCCACTGCAACACAGCACTCCTGGTCTGCTGACTGCTTTTCTTTATTCTCCTTGGCAGCCAAGAGAGCAGGAAGCTCTTTTAAGACTGAGTGATGTCAAAGTATTTCTGCCTGTAGTAGGCAATTTTTGTTTCCTTACTTTGTGGCCAAACTGCACTTGCAGAAAGTAGAACTGAAGAAAATAAGATATGAATGGGTGCTTGCATGGTTTATCTGACACGCCCAGTTGATTCTTGCGTTTTCTGGTCATTTTAAGGTACAGAATCACCATAAAGCCTGAATTACTTTTCCTAGGGGACACATACAGTTAGGCTGCTCTCAGCTGTTTTCACAACCTTTATGTCCAATGATCAACACATAACCTTGTTTTGCGTGCATGTCAGTTTAGACACTGCTATAGTTTGTGTCTGGATGTCCCTCCAAAGCTTCATGTGGTTATAAGGGGCAGGCTTTTCTGAAGCAGCTGAATCACAGAATTTGTAATTGGTTTGCTATGTAGTGTTGAGATTAGTGGAATGAGTGCTACATCCATCCTAAGGCAAGTAGCCCGCACACAGTAGAAGGGAGGAACAGAGGTTTGCTTCTCCTCTGTTTGCTCTTGCTGTCTTCTGCTGCATCCATGGACTGTTGCCTCTTGGCCATGCAACCCTGACCTGGAGGCAACTGATTATGGACTGAAACCTCCAAAAACTGTGAGCCAAATAAATCTTTCATTCCTTAATTTTGGGCATTGGATATTTGGTCTCAGGAATGAGAAAAGTAACTAAGATAGAATAATTAACATTGACCTCAGGACTAACCACACTGTATATAACACAGGCCTGAACAACTTGATCCTGAGTTTTCTCAGACCCTTCTTACCTCAGGACATGAACCAAACCCTTCTGCTGCATGCTTGGAGGGGGGAGGATTTTATTGTTTTGTTTTTTTGAGACAGGGTCTCACTATTTGGTTCAGGCTAGTCTTGAACTTATTATGTCCCCCAGGCTGGCTTTGGCTTGTGGCCATCCTTCTGTAATGGTGCTATTACAGGGATGTACCATCACACCCAGCTCTTTGCTTAGGGATCATTTTAAATAGCAAGGTATTCAACAAACAGCACAAAAATGTGAAAACATGATCTAGACTGTGAAAAGAACACTTTGTTAGGGCTGAGCTTAAATAAGACAGCAGAGCCTGGCCTATTCCTCCTCAGCAGGAACATTTACCAGGCAACTCTGATTTTTCCCTTTACATATCCATGAATGATCACAGAAGCACCTTGTGCTGTGCTTTGGAGTAGCAAATAAATTTTCACTTTGCACAAATGCACAAATATTGACTATACCATATAGTATAAGTCAGTGATGGCGAACCTTTTAGGGCTTTCAATGATAACAAGCAGTTGACTGCCACATGTACGCCATCGGTTCATCAAAACTAGTATAAGTAATCCCAACCATTGGGCAGGAACCCCTCCCCCGCATCCAGCTCTACAGGCCAGACAGTCTCTTGAGTAGATGATGACAGATCAGAGGTTAGTTAAGTGTCGTCTGAGGACATATTCCATTTCAGGTATGATCTGCTTAAATTATTTCCCTCAAATGAAAAATTATCTGACCAAATAATTTTCCTTGGACTTCTATTTATGAGAAATTGGGTCAGGGGGCTTAGGAATGTGCCAAGATATGCAAAATATGATGGGAAAGAAAGACATGGTTGTGCATTTCTGTAATCAGGATAAAATGTACACTTACCACAGCTAAGTATGAAGTGCTATGGTGGCACAGAGGGGGCATGGATTCCAGCCTGCTCCAGAGGAGCTTGATTTAACCTGAGTCATGAGGGCGCATCTGCGAGGAGGGGAACAGCAAGGCAGCCTGAAGAAGTGAGACTGGGGCAGTTCCTCACAGAGGAAAGAGCACGAGCAGAGGCCCTGAGGTGGGAGGGCATCAGGCACAAGTGTTGTGAAATTCTGGTGGGTGAGGGGCAAGTATGATAAGAACAGAAAAGCACTTAATGCTGCAGGCCTCAGGGTCCAACTGGAGAGAGTTAATGGCACTTTGCACGAACTTTACTTTGCAGTCACTAGGAATAGTGGTGGAGTTTTAGAACAAAGGAATCATGTAATACCAATGAGTAGCAGCTGAACTATGTGAACATCTTTTATGTGCAGGTACTTCCTGACCACTATGATCTTTTGCGGTTAGTGCTGTTAGCTGAGGCCCTACCATGTACCAAATACTCGCTTAGATACCTTATATGTTGATTTAATACAATAGAGATCTCTCCAGTTTCATTTCTATTTTATACATAAAAAAATTAAAACTTGGAAAGCTTAACCAACCTAAAATCTCAGCTACAAAGTGAGTTGTCTCACACTCTTAAATACTCTATACTTTAAAAAAAAAAAAAAAAAACTAGCAGTATTCTGTCAGGCATGGTGGTGCACACCTATAATTTCATTACTCTGAGAGGATGAGACAAGAGGATCACACATTTGATCCAATTTAGTGACTTAATGAGATTCTGCCTCAGAAAAAAAGGAGGGAGGGTGTACCTGGGTTGTAGCTTAGTGATAAGGCCCTGAGTTCAATCCCAAGTACTATGAAAAACAATCCAGTATTCTATATTTTGTATTTGTTTGTCTAATTCAAGGATATATCACTGGGTGAGGGTATATCACTGTAGGTCAGCAGTACAGCGCTTGCCTAGTGCCCACGAGGGCCTGGCTTTACTCTCCAGTACCAAAGTAGTGCAGCAAGGGAGACATACAGCAAGTGTCCTCAACTAGAGAGACAGACTCTGCCACAATCTCTACTCCTCCTCACTACTTGAATGACATACTTCCACCACTGGGTACAGCTTTCCATAATCATATCCCTACAGCAGTAAAACTAGACAAGAATTTGCACAGATTTGTACAACTGGCATTCTTAGAAATGCAGGACTAGTTATGTGACAACAGTTGGCTGAAAAAACTTTAAACCTTTATATTTCAGAAGCAAGATTTGCCACTGAATGGCAGAGTAGCTTCTATGGAGAATATTTTTGAGAATTAAATCCAAAGACAGCTGTCTTCATACTTAAAAGCACTTTGACAACTCAAGGTTGAAAATTCCACACAGCGCTTGTTGTCAGCCCATTGTTTTGCTGCCTGGTGGCCTCTGGAAGGGAGTATTCTGCCACCTTGTGCAATTCATGCCAAATGCTGTGCCCACTGCACGGGGACCGCCCAGGGTCACCTATGAGTACTTGAGTTCCAAAAGTGTGAACGCACTTCTTCAGCCATCCGTGAAGACTGTCCGCCAGGGCTTCGTCATAAAGCATATCTCCAAGGACAACAAGGTCCCATTGATCTTGTTCCAGATTTAGAATGTTTTTGGTTAAAATGGGAAAAGGACTGAGGTGATTCAATTCACAGTTTAGTGTGATGGCCATTCCTGCAACTTTACAAAAGCATAAAATAAATTGGTACATTAGCATTTACCACAGGTTGTTTTAATCCCTCACTGATTAACTTAAATAATTTTAATGTATTTTGTTGTTATAGCAGCTCAGACTCATAGTGAGCCTCCTGTTTCCAGCCTCCTCAGTGCTGGGATTTCAGGCATGCACCACTACGCCCCTGGACTCTGGGGCTCACTCAGTGTGCCCTCAAGGTGGGGCGGGTGTGGCATGTGGTGCCAGGAATCGAACCAGAACCATGGTCCCTGTGCTTGCCTAAGCTTGCCTAAGCATGCCTAAGCAGGCGCTTTAGGTGCTTTATCTAGCTGGCCCAACTTAAATAAACTTAACAATATTAATTTCCTTTTTGTTAAACATGGGCTTTTTTGGGGTAAAGAAATCTAAATCTTATGCCAGTATAAATTATATATTGCAGTCTCCAGATATATGACTAGCTATTCTGAAAAAAAAAAAAAAAAAATACAGACTACCTGGAAATGCTGAGGCTTTAGAACATTTACTGGTAACAATACTTATGATGGGGCCGGGGAGATGGCTCAGTGGAATAAGCGCTTCATTGGTAAGCGCAAAGGCCTGAGTTCAATCCCCGGTTCTGCAAAAAAAAAAAAAAAAAAAAAAAAAAAAAAAAAAAAAAAAAAAAAAAAAAAAAAAAACAAACTTATGATGTTTATGGATTTTTTTTGTTGGTGGTGGTTTTTTGTCTATTTGTTTACTTAATTTTACTGTGGACAGGGAAATAAGCCTGGGTTTAAGGAAGCAACAAGTTAGAACTCAGGCCTCCCCATGACGTAAGGATTCTTGAGGGTTGTACCCCAGTGAAAGGTTGGACCAGAAGAAAATGAGATAAAGTCTTTCTGGTCCCACTTGGGTCCTAATGAATAAAAATCTGCCCCAAAGATACAGGCCTGGCCTCATTTGGGATTTGGGTCAATTAAACACCACTTCTACATTTCAGGGAATTCCCTAACTCAGAAACTAACATAAATACTCCCAGGCTGGTATTCCCCCAGGAGGACCAACAGACATGAATCTTCCCAGGAAAAATGCATGTATCAGTGCAGGCCTCAGATAATTTCTCCCACAGACAATGTAGGGTACAGACAAAAGCTCACAACAGCAGAGTACAAAACACACAGAGCTATATAATCACACTAAGCATCTGTACATATTTGTCCTGAGAAAACAAGAAGGTGAGCGTCACACATGTTTTTAAATATGAAATTCTCACCAGGGTCTATGTCGTTGGCCAAGATCCTTGATGCCCCGCTCATCTGAGCCGCAATTGCTGTAGCTCCACATCCACTCCCAAGGTCTAACACAGATTTTCCCCAGACAACATCTGGATTATCCAAAAGATACCTAAATTAGAAGGAAAGAAAGGACAAGACATGTTTCAGGCAGATAGGGAAAAGTCAGTAAAGGGTATCAAAAAATCATATATATATATTATGGACTGTGAGGCAAAGAAATAGGATTTGGTGGAAGAACTTGGTCCCAATTTGCAAATTTGTCCAGTACCACAGTGAAACAAATACCAATCTTCCAAGTGTCACTAAGGTAGCAGGGAAGAGAACCCTGTCATTCTGTTCAGCAGCTGAAAGAGCAGCTCTATACAAATCATATGCTTCAAATCACCTCTTTTGCTTGCTTGTTTTGGAATAGTAGGGATTGATCCCAGGATATTTGCACTGGCTATATCACACCGCTACCTCCTTTTTTTTTTTTTTTTTTTGAGACGGGGCCTTACTAAGTGGCTGCACTGCCCAGGGTGAGCTTGAACTTTCAGTCTTCCTGCCTCAGCCTCCCACAGAGCTGAGACTATAGGCCTGTGCCATCATGCCTGGCCTCACGATAATCTCAGAAACAGAACAGCAGGGCTGGATATGTAGCTCAGTGATAGGGGACTTGCTTGGTATGCATGAAGCCCTTGGTTTGAGTCCCAAAATAAAAATAAAAGTATTTAACATTCAAACAATAACCCAGAAACTACTAAACACCAGGAACTGAGCCTGAAAAATACTACCACAATCAGGACTAAGTAAACTACATATAAAATTACTATCTCTTTTTGATTATGATTCACAGAGTAATTCTTCCCCCTTGGTTCATTTCTCTGTGTTTTCTCAGTTGTTTGGCCTTTTTCTAGATGAAACTCAGGGACACTCTACCACTAAGCCTGCATCCCCAGCCTTTTGTTAAGTTACTTCGAGACAAGGTCTCACTAAGTTGCCACTAGTGGAGAATGAAGCCTCGAGTGGCCCCACTCACACTTCTTGTTCCATGGAGAAGCAGGAATTCTGAGGGGAGGGTGACAGTCACAGGATTAAAGTAGGATGGCAGGAGGGGTGGGTTTGTAGGTGCCATCTGGGAACACTCAGTGCTGGCCATGCCCACATCCCCAGTGCACTGTGCAACTTCTGGATAGCTGTCTGATGTTTTGAGAGCTGGCCTGACAATTTCTCTTGGGGAGAGAGCTATAACTGGGGAAATGTATTAATAAACTTTGGTAAGGAGGTGAAACTGCAACAAAATATATATATATATATATATTTATATAAATATTTACATATGCCTAAACATCCGCAAATCAGAAAACAAGCTGGGAACAGTGCTATGTACCCAGAATCCCAGCACTCTGGGAAGCAAAAGCAGGAGGATCGAAAGTTTGAGGTCAGCCTAGACCACTCAGCAAGACTTTGTCTCAAAATTGAAAAAGAGGCTGAGGATATAGCTTAGTATAAATGCGCTGGGTTTAATACCTAGTATGTTGAGGGAAATGGAGGGAAGGGAATTAGAAGATTAAACATTTCCCGGGATAGGAGGGAAATTTTTAAAATTTCATTTTTGCAGAACTAGAAATTAAGCCCAAGCCTTAACTTTCTAGGCAAGTGCTGTACCACTGAGTCACATCTGCAGTCCTTTTTTCAATTTTGAGATAGAATCTCAGTGATTCTCACTTCAAACTTGCAATCCTCCTGCCTCAGCCACCTGCATAAGTGTGATTACTGTATCTAGGAAGCTTTTTGGAGAAAATTAGTCTTCTCAGAAGATAATCCTGCCCCTCTGGGCTGTGGATAGATACCTCCTAAACCACAGGCAGGCTGGGATCTGAGCAGGTCTCCATGACTTTGGGGTTTTGCTGTTTTGTGAGGCCAGAGAATGCAAGTTGGAGATGCTGAAAGGAGAAAAGGATCTACAACACCCTTAGGGTTTCCAACCGATAGGACAGTACCTAGACAGGGCTTGGCCTCCTGGCCAGTAGATTGCCCAATAAGGATCACCGTAGGGCCACAGGTCAGCTCTCTCCCACCAAAACTTGCATTTGGGGGTCAAAAGCCGCAAGTGGATTTCAGGGGTGAGGCTGCCACTGCTAGTGACCTTGGTGTTCTCCTCCAGGAAGGCTCTCATCTCAGGGTCCAGAAAGCTTCCCCTTGCTCTCCAGGGACAGTGGCCCCAGGGAGATGAGAAGAAGCTACCGCTTGTTACAGCCTGCAAGAAACCCCAGCGTTTCCAACCAAGGCTCCAAGCCATCAGTCCTTTCCCAAAGTATAGGCCTGCCAGAAGTGCTGAGAGTAAGGCTGCTCTTCTCCGGGGAGAAAACACGGCTGTCTCTCACTTGGTCCCCACCAGAATCTCTGGATCTCTAAAAATAAAAGCAACACTGAAAATTCCAAGTATAGCCAGCATTTCCAGATTTTGTCACATAATAAAAAATATTCTAGTATAGACTTTGTGTCTGCCAGTTCACAAGTACAAACTCATTTTGGATGAAATCTTTGGTGCATTAATCTTCTGGTATTGTCCCATAATGCAGTCTATTTATTTATTTATTTATTTGATATAGGGTCTCACTGTGCAGCTCCGACTAGTAGTGATCCTCCTGTCAGCCTCCCCAGCACTGGGATTACAGGTGTGTACCACCATGTCCAGTTCCAGGGCCAGCATGACACGTGACACCAGGGATCGAATCCAGGTCCTTGCACTTTTGAGGCAGGCACTTAGACAGCTGAGCTATCTCCCCAGCCCATGAAATCCTTTTTAAACAACTGAGAACAACATCTAAGCAGGTCTGAGTGGTAGGAAGCTTGTCAAGCATGTGTGAGGCCTGAGTTGATTCCCAGCACTGTGGAGAAAAAAAGGAACAATTACATACAAAAAGACAGGTGTAGTGGTACTTGCCTATAAGCTTAGCACTCGGGGTGGCTGGGACAGGAGGATCATAACTTTGAGTCCACCCTGGGCAATTCAGCAACTCAGCAAGATCCTGTGTCAAAATTGAAAAAAAAAAAAAAAAAAAAAGTTCAGGGACTGTCGCAAAGTGTGGGGCACCATATTTTCATTCCATTCTGTAAAGATACAAAAGAGGACTTAGGAAACTGCTTCAGAAAGTGGCAGGGGCAATAAGTGTTCAGTGTGTAGGAAAGTATTTGGAGGGAACTACTGACAATGTGTCTTTCATTGTAATACATTTTTAAAAAATTAAACATTCAGCATTTACTTTGATCCCATCTTGTAAAATAAGGTATACTTTTAAAGTTCTTGTATACTTGGAACAAATCATCAAACTCCAAGCAGGGATTCTTGGCAAATGGCTGAACAAAATAAAAGGTAATTCCTCAACAAAATGAAAATCCAAAATAAGCAAAGTTCCACATCTTTAGAAAGTTTATATTTTACTGATGAAATACAGCAGTTCTTGAGGCAAGCATGGTCTTCACTTTTATATAGTCAACATTTGTGAGGTTAACAAATTATACTGACTACATTATTTCACTAAAGCTTGTCCCACCTGGCTTAGGCTTGGTGGCACACACCTGCAGTGCCAGCTCCTAGGGAAACTGGGACAGGAGGATCTGTTGGACCTATGAGTTCAAGGTTACCTAGTGCAACATGTTAAAATACTTTCTTAGAATGAAACAAATAAAAACCCTGTTGTCTCATCAACCAATGCAATCAAGACGTTTTTCCATGAGAACTTGTACTGTAACATCCTGTAACTCAGTAGTGT